CATGTGAACAAGCAAAGGAACCACTCAGTCTAAAAGAAACTAAACAAGTTTTGTTTAGAAATGGACTACATACTCGTATATCTTTAAATATTTACAATACGGGACAGAGTAAAAAGAACTGAAATCAAATCACATATTGCAAAAGAGTTGCATTAGGCACAAGAAAACATCAACGGTGATGGAAGTAATGAAAGATTTTTAGATGAGTCAACTTTTGAGACGTGTTTGGACCAACATTTATTCAAAGGAGTTTTAAGCATCCCCAAAAGGTGCATGTTTATTAATAATCTCTGCTCATGGGTTTGAGGTTTTGATTTGCTTCACAGAAAACCTGAACGCCGTTAGAATGATAAAATTGTATAAAAGGGATTTAATGAAGTCAACTGAAAGCTTTACGGTAAAAAACCATGATTATATGCTGCAAGAAAACAATGATCTGTAACATAGAAGCAGACTCTGTATTCAATGGAAACAAGAAAACCATATTGATAGGCAATCTCAGTCACCAGACGCCAAGGATTTTATTCGGATATTCCAACATAACTGGAGTTTTCTTCCCCTGGAAAAGTTGTCAGACTATATCAGAAAATGCGGGAGATTGAAGCAAGTAGTGAACATCAGCTATATATATATATATATATATGTATTTTCTATAATTACAAAATTTTCTCCAACGCTACCTATAGTTTTGGGAACGCACTGCACCTGCACAGACAGCGAAACTCATTAAGTCACCACTTTCGGATATATACATGTGTGTGCGAAGATATTAAAGTTATTGTTGGTGTAGTGAACATAGACTCTGCTTTGTGAACAAGGAAGTGGGATATTATGAACGTTGCCATCTAATCTTGAGACTTTTTTTATGTTGGCCTGAATCGGTGACATTGTCGTGTATATCTCTATACAAGAAAAAAATACGGTGCTGGAGACTTTTACCTGAAAGCAACCTAGCTAGTGAATGCTACCATAAAATGGTGAGACATTTAAAACTAACACTGAAAACAAACGAAATTTTATGAAGACAATGAGAGTTATTTGGTACTTCTAACCCTTAAGCAATTCTATATTTGGAATAACCACATCGCTGGTACAGCTATATAAGCTAAAGCGAGAATAAACTTCACTTATTTATAGATTATAGTCCATCGACTTTCACAAATCGTTTTGTAATCAAAAAAAAAAAAAAGACGTGAATAACGATGAAATCAACTTATATAACTTATAGACTAGGCGCCTTAACCTCAGCGAAAACTACACCAACCTATTATATTTGCTCATTTTCCCTTTTTGGCACATAGCGCGCTAAAAGTATGTATGCATGCAGATAACAGAATAAAAGCAACACTTTTCTCATTTTTGCAATGCGCCAAAAACTATGCTTATTGATTTGTGAACAAACTTTAATCGAACTAAATCGAATATTGCAACAACTCCGCATAAATGCGTATAAAACTGCACAGCAAACGCGCTTGCCTCCCTCATTACCGAAATTATAGCGAATATAATATTTCTAAATTGTGGCACTATTCACTTATGGCGAAAAGCACTTTGTATAATGATAAATCACAACAAAAACAAATGTATTTTGATTTCTAACAGTTTTCAGCGTGGTTACGTGTTGGTGTGTGCCTACACACACACACATACACTTACAAGCGCTTGAAGTATGAATGGGCATAATCAATGTGTGTAAGTGAATTAAAAACTTATGCGCAAGCATCTGGCAACGCACACGATCAGCACGAGCTATAAAAATAAAGTTAAACGAATGTTTTCAAGCAATTTTCAGTCATTTGGAGGCAATTTGCCGCCGCTTACCCATTAGCAAATGCAATTACAGCACCCAACAGCAAATATATTTAAATATGCATACGTGTGTCTCTGAGTGTGTGCGTTTGTGTGTGAGTGAAACATGCAGTACGCTAATTTTATACACTACCAACACACACTCAATCAGTAGAGCCTTCACACACACGCACACACACAGACACAATTAACTGGCAACTGTGCGCTCTTATAAAATGCAAATGAATATGTATACCGTTACACATATGCATATGTGTATGAGTTGAAGCGATTTATTAGTGTGCATACACACATACACTCATATACATGCTCATATGTGTGTTTGTACCTCTGTCGGGCTTTTTGCATGTGTAAATAAGTTACGTAAATGGCTGCCATTAGCTTCAATTCAGTTTTGCAAAGCTTTTACAGCGTCGCCGGTATCGTGGTAGACCTCATTCTCGACAACACGAAATGGGTCCACGTTGCGGCTGGTCGAACGGTCGGACGGCATTGGCAAAACCGAAGTGCCGAAACAAAGCAGAAACCATTGAACTATTTTTCAACACTAAGGTGCTAATTAAGCAGAGTGTTAAAGGTTAAAGGGAGGTGAGGCAGCGGCGTCAGCATACACACACATACACATGCAAATGTAATTTTAGGACACTTTCCGTTTGGTGGATTCGAGACGGGGGGCGCTCGGCATGGGTGAAAAATTGAAATACTCCGACAATTAGGCAGACAATTTAGCAACTACAAACACACCCATGTGCCACACACACATAGACAGTGCCGTGTGTGCGTAGGATCGTATGAATTCACATTTAATTTTATGAAAATTGCTTGGGGCCCATGTGTAGGCGCCAGACATGAATTTCGAAAATTACAAAACATTTAGCAAAATTAGACATATTCGTGTGAACATGTGTGTGTGAGTGTGTGTATGCGTGTTGTAGCCTACTCTGACAATTTCAGTTGATTGGAAATTTTGTGTGAAAAGTGGCAGCTGCATGCACCGTGTGCCCGGCTGCCTGTAATTTGTTGCTATTGTTTGGGTATGTAAATAAAATAAAATTTTAGGTGTTTATTATTAATTCACTTCAAATTCTCTATTAATATTCCAAACAGTCAATCAGCTACATATGCAATTATAGTCAAACAAAAGTCACTGCTGTAATATTTGCCATTTAACACCTTCGACACCTTGAACTGTGGCAAATTATAGTGGCAGCAAAGGACATTAACGAGTTAGCTGTAATGGTCTGTTTGTTTCTATGTACATATGTACATCTGGTTGCATGTGATTCACTGCCACAGTTTTCTTTTTTTTTTGCTATTGCTGGTTTTTGGTCTTTTCCCACTCACAACGGCAGCGGAATTCAACACTGGTCACTGCACCGTGACACATGAAAGCTGTTGCAAGGGGTGTGTGGCAAATGGCAGGCGGCAAATGTCAACGGAAACGCTCATTCTAGCAATGACGATTTAACATTTCCTTAATGAGTGCAATTCTCAGCGTCACGTCCAACTAGTTCACATAAACGTCGCGCGGTAAAGCGTTGATGTGTGTGTAACTATGTGAGCACATTTTTTATGACCTAATAGACACATAGGTATATACGTATAATATATAGACATACATACACATTGTTAATGGATTGTATAGCAGCATTTTTTCAACGACCCAATCGGAAGATGTAAACCTTAATAACTGTACTATGAAGAGTAATAAGAGCAATAGCTAAGATTATCAAAAAGATTATGGCTAGCAAATTTCGAGGTTAAAAAGTGATTTGCTAAAATGGTAGATCTTAAGCTTAAAAATTTTGAATCAAGAAGACCTTGGAAAACGTTCGAGAATTTTTTGTAGCATGGAAATAGAAAACTCATCGATAGTATATACTCATTTCTACATTCTACAACATTCCATCGCTCCTTAGAAGAGCTTTTTGACATTTTGTAAATTTGAACTGTTCGGCTGTGAGATATTGCAGATGGTGAGGCAGTCAAAGTAATAACATTTTTTGACAGCATGACTACTAATTTAAATACTATAGCTAGCCAAGCTATTACGGTGATTTAAAAGCTCTTCGTCCATTTACATTTGTTTTGAAATGTTTTTAAATCAAACCTTAAAATTTTATTTAAGAAAGCAAAAATATTCAAAAAATATTTTTTTCCTAGTTTTTTAAAAGCTTTCCAAGCTCTTTAAATAGTAATGAGACCTTAAAATTATATTTAGGAAGCAAATAATAATTTAAATATATATTTTGTTAAGGCTTTTAAAGCTTTTTAATAGTAATTAAACCTTAAAAACATATTTAAAAAGTCAAAAATAATCAAAAAAACTTTTTAATAGTAATTGAACCTTTCAAATCTATTTAAGAAGCCAAAAATATATAAAAAATTTTATTTTCAAAGCTTTCTAGAAGCTTCGAAAGCTCTTTTAATATTAATTATACCTTAAGCCAAAGCCAAGCATATAAAAAAAATATAAAATTTTCGAAAATTGATATTTATAATAAATTTATTTTGTTAGTCTAAACTTTTAACGACGAGAAATTAGTCCCTAGTGACCCAAGCAAAGTTAATAGCTATACATATACTTCTTCAGCTGACTGATTTCTATAAAAAAAAACGTTAGATTTGTTGATTTTAATTTAAAAATAGTGCATTTACACACACAACCGCACTCTCGCTTACTCATCTATTCTCTCAGTGACTACAGAAACATTACCGCTGCTTTTGCATGCAAAACACGTAGGACAGTTGGATGAAAAGAAATTTACAAATAGCCGACATTCAAGCGTCTGTCATCACGAACACGTACAGTTCGCGTGGAGCGAGCGCCTAGCAGCCGACAAGTGAGTGTAATTAGCAAAGAACAACGAATATAACTACCCACACACCCACATGACTCAGACATATCGACAAATTTACAAATGACACGTCAGCAGTTCGCTATATAAACACATATGCACACTTATAACTATATGGGTATATATGTATATGGTATGTACGCTTATTATAATGCAAATATTTGCGCATGTTGGCTTTAGTAACTGACTGTGCGATAATTTAATAAGAGAACTTGCAGATTGTTTGACCAAGAAGCAATGTTGCCGTCTGCTAGTTGACTTAAGGCATATTTATATTAGTCGCTGCATGTCAAATATTAAACATTGCCGTAACTTTTGTTGCGCTAAACTTACCTGACAGCAGCAGTTCACTTGTACTGTTGACCAAATTATCCATAATTGGCTGGAATGTATAAAATGTCAAAGTCTCCAACTCGTTGCTTTGCACATTGATGTTGAGGAGCGCGGGTGTGCCACGCAGTAGTCCGTTATCGAGTTTCTTTAGCTTGTTATTGCGAAGATTCAGCGTTTTTAGCGTATTCAAGCCATCGAGAGCACGTTCTGAAATGCGCTGTAATTAAGGTAAATAAAGGGATTTAATAGACATTTCTTTACACAAGAGTTTGTGCATATGCTACTAGATTAAAATAGACTAATATTAGTACAGTAGGAACTTTAGGGTGGGATAGCTAAAAAAACAATGACACATTTTTAAAGTAGTAGTAATATATAATGTGAGTGAAAAATTAATTACCTGACAAATGGATATGAGGAAGGAAAATGTATACTTATTAATATTTTAAGTTTATATAAATTTAAATAACCTTTTTCTTCTAGAAAAATAAAGTAGTATATATAAATGTAAAAATTGTAAATTTTCAATGCCAACTCAATTCAACTGCTATTATCCTCTACCTTATTACTCGCCGAAACTAGCTCTTCAATAATTGTTTTCAATATAAAATCAATATTCTTCGTGCTTCTTCACACCCATTATCACTAAAGAAACAAAATCGTGTATCAAATGTAGTCAACTATTAGGCGCATAATTTGTGTTAGTGAAGACACATACCGTGAGTACAATTTCCAACCACATTAGTTAATTATTATACACAAAATGAGTTTTAAAAGATATGATAACAATTTTTGGTGATTTCATATTTCAAATTATATAATATATATATTGCAGCTAGTATTATTTTTTCCTATAAAAGCTATTCTTCATTAATTCATATTATTTTAAGTTTAAAACTGATCACCGTAATTATTTGAGAGCTTTCTTAAAATTTTTTTTTAAAGTAATTTGTGTACTTCTTCAACAGTAAAAAGCATATAGTTTTAATTAAATTTAACTACCACTCAAAATGGACTCAGCTTTCATAAAATAATTTTCGAAAGAAATTAAAATCACAGCTCTGCGTTTATGAAACTTAATTAATAAAGCGTAAAAACTAATATTTTTGGGCAATAAAAAGTTAAAGGCACTCCTCTTATTGCATATACAATAACACAAATGTGTGTATTAGTGGCTTAACACATATATGTATGTGTGTTTGAGTATATTGCTGTCCTTGAGTTCATGTGGCTGCCTAAACGGTTAGGTTGGCATGAAATTACCACTCACTTCAGCGCCATTTACAAGCCTTGGCGCACACAAAGTGCACGTCTGCCAGTCATTAAATTATTTAATTGCTGGCCAAAAGTGTAAATTTTCTCCTTTTATTTCTGCTTTAATTCTAGCCAAACAAAGCTATTAAGTAACTTAATCACTCACTCACTCGCGCTCACTCAGCTACTCAGTATACCCATAGCGGCCATTTTAGCATTCTATTCAAGTCTCTTTCAGCCGTTAAGGCATTTTTAATGTGAACTAATTATTTCCTGATTAACTCTGGACATGAACTGACTCATCTATTCTTACCGGACATAGCCGTTAAAGTGTGCCAGTAACGGAATGTTTGCGCAAAAAGTGATGTTCGCCGGTCTTTATTACCTGTCAGGTGGCATGTCTAACCCATATTAGCGGGCACATTTCTTCACTGAATATACATTATATATGTATGTGTTTGTATTTATAAAAGTATGTATTCCTGTGGTTTGCTTATTTATATATGCAGGCTTGTTACTCTTGGAGGCGATTATAATGCTGAAAAGGGTTCTATATGTTTCTTAAGTCAAAAAATTACTTTATATTTATATTGAGCGTGATCTGAAATCGAGCGAATAGTATCTTTAGTACGTGCACTAACTGCTCTCTATAATACAGGTGCAGAAGTGGTTTATAATGTTATAATTAATTTTCTTAAGTACTATTTGCATAAATTGTATTCAATTCTCTTATTAAAAAAAATTCTATATTTATACGCTAATATTTCTATTCTTAGTAAGCTATAATAATTTTATAAATATTATATAAATTTATTTTCCTACAATACTAAACGAGTATTAACCAGATGTGCAATTTAGTTGAAACAAAATCCGCCAGAGAGACACCCTTGCAAAGTCTGGGTGCAACAGTGCGTATAAGCAACAAGAATTTGTACTTGACAAACGTTTTTCGCTTGTGTGCAAGTGTGTGTGCGCACTTATGCCGCCACTTGACGTGCTTGATCCACTACTCTGCTTTGAAGTGTTAGAAAGCTGCTGACACATATTTATGAGCGACGCTTTTAGTCGTGGTTGAGTTTTCAATTTGTATATATTTGCGTGCATACATACTTATTTATAGTAGGTATATACTTATGTATGTACGTGTGAGTGATTTCATCTTTAAGATGAAATGTTTAGTGTTTTATCTTGATATAAATGTTTCATATTATAGATAAGACGCAATTAAATCAACTCCTAAGTCTCGAACCAATAAATAACCCCTAGGTGATGTCCCCAAAATTCGCAGCAATACGGAGAATCTCTAAGCTAAAGAACTCAAACTAGTCCTTCTAATTAAACTACTCTAAACTATAGCACCACTAAATGGCTGAATAATCCTCAAAAGAAGTTTTTAAACCTAATGATTTTGATAACAAGAGGGGGACTATGTGTACTTAATAAAATTCTGAAATCATAAAGCTTCAACTTTTGAGGTTTTATAGTTAGATGAGTTTGTAGAAGTCTTTCAATTATTCTTTGATAATTATTTATTTTTAAGAGCTTTCAAAGCTTTTGCGAAAGCTTTTAATACATCTTAAGCTAAAATTTACAAGAGCTTCCAAAATATAAGTGTCAACTATCGCAATCTAGTGTACATCTATTGTACTTAGTCTGACTTGGACAGATATCTAGAATCTACGAAGGACAACGATTTCCCGTGTCAGCAAAAGCGATAATAATGCCTTAAAAATTGAGTTAACTCAATCGTGCTCGACAAAAAGTTTCACAAATTGGTTCTAATGACAATTGGTACTATACAATTTTCTATTATGTATGCCACTGAAAAATATTACAGAAGCAACTGATTACTAATTTTGAGTCAAAACCCGATTTTCGTTCGGTTCATTATATTTCAAAAGGCATTTCAGGCAGGCACGACTAATTTAGCAGAAATAATTATAAACAGTAAATGTAGCATGAGCGCTTTCTCAATTAAAAACAATTATACCGTTAAAGTCGAGGTGCATTAGAATTATGAGTTTTTGTCTATTGGACGAATATAGGTGTAAATATTAGGGATATACCTACGATCTATTACCTTATTCATACAGCATATTAAAACAACTTACCTCAATCTTGTTGTCGTCCAACTCCAATTCCGACAAGATCCACAACTCAGCAAACACAGTATCGCCGATGAAATTAATATTATTATTCGACAGTTTGAGTACATTCAAATTACCCAGACCTTTGAAGATGTCGCTGGTCAACACCGATATCTGATTATGCGCCAAATTCAAATATACCAAATGTGGCATCTCCACAAAGAGGCTGTCATGCAAATTTGTTATATTGTTGTTGTTTAAGAGAAGTTTCTCGCATTGTGGTAGATTATGAAAAGCGTGGCGATCGATCTCAAATATCTGATTATGCTCCAAATTCAACTCACGTAAGCGTATGTGATTAGCGAATGCGTCCTGAGCCAAGGCCGCTATGTGATTATTGGTCAAGATAATACGCTCCAAATATGGTAGATTAGCAAAAGCATTACTCTTCACCACATCCACTTGTGAGTATTCAATAATAATGCTGGTCAAATTCTTTAACGATTCAAACACTAGCGTTGGTATATAGTCCAGGCGACCATGATTTTGTATGACAAATTTCAATTCACGCAAACGCTTTTGCTGAAAGAAACGCGTCCAGGTTGTATCGTTCTGTGGCAAGATATCGGAGAATACCCAGCACTCCGCCTTCAACACCGGCACGTGATTCTCGTCCGGTGTGCAGTAGCACATGAGCTTCATATCGCGACGACGCACACAAAAGCCAGTCGTATCCATGGGACCCGTATACGAGCTGGTGGCCGAGGAAGATATACTCGCGTAATTGTTGTTCACGCTGCCGCTGCTAGCGTAGTAGGTGGACGAGGCGGAGGTGGAAGAGGCGGCTGAGAGGCGATCGCTGCGACGACGTCCTTCTTTGTCGCGCGAACGGGACGCTGCGGGCGCAATGAGGCAGGCAAAGCAGACGAGCGTGATGGCGAGCAGTATGAGCCGCTGACAGTTAGACGGCCACATTTTGGTGGTGTTGTGGGGTTTGGTAGTGTTTTTGTTATAAGAATGTGTAGATTTTTTGTCGAAAGTGTGGAGAGCTTTTGTTTGGTATAAGGTTTAGCTTAAGTTATGCTTTTGTGGGAAGTTAGGTGGGTTGGTTGTTCAAATTATTAATTGTATCTTCTTCTCTTTATTCTTTCTTATTCGTCTGTTGTAGTATAAATACGTTCAACAATTGCACAAAATCGTTTAAGCTCTAGTTGTTAATCTGTAAGACGAACAAAAGAAATGAAATATGATTAATTTTTACGGTTATAGGTGTGGTTATATTAGCGTTTATAGATATTTTGTTCGAAATAATGACATATTTATGGCTGAAGTAGTTATTTTTGTTTTAGCCGGAGTCATTTTGGTTACTCAAATAAAATGTGTCGAGCAAAAATTGTTGTTAAAAAAAAATGGAACAATTTACTAAAATAAATAGCAAGAAACTCGCACAAAATGCATAAAATTTGATGCAGTGGCAACCACTGATTGTTAATATTACCCTTTATTACTGTTAAAACTATTATATATAAACATTTAAGTATACTTGGATGTTCAACAACATATCAACCATAACTTTCAGCACATAGCACTTGACTTACGTTCGTAACTAGACACAGCCAGTGTCAACTAGACGCGCTACCCTGCCCTCCATTCACACCAACATGAGGTATGAACATCGTCCTATCAACTGACTGCTTTTCAACACCCCTTGTCTCCAATAAAGCTTGCAATTTTATTTAAAAAGCTTGCAATTGTATTTATTTGCAACATAACTTTTATTTATTTTACGTCGTCTGGTCACTATGTATGTGTGGGTTGCATTGCATTGCTGCAGCCGGCGACAATAATACAACAACACAATCGCTGATTTCGCTTTGCTGCCCTAACTACAGTAACATTTTGCTGCCATTACGTTCATTGGGTTGCCTCCTGCTCTTCACTCACTCCGTGACCTTTTGCACTTAACTTTGTTTGCTTTGTGCTCGGCATTTGTGTCCTTTTTTAAATTGCTTAAAATTGTTTCCTTTTTCATAGATTTATGACACCCATAAATTATAACAACAGCACGAGTAACAGTGCAACAATAATGGCATTATGAGAAATAAAAAAATAAAAAAACAAATTAGAGAAAAACGAAAAACTCGTTGGGAGAAAGAAATTTATTGTACCCAGTACCGAGTAGTTTGAAAAACAAAAAATATTGAGTTTAAAAAATAAGTTTTGTGTAAATATATTTTTGTTGATTTTTAATTGAAAAATATGTTTTAATAAAAAATGCGCTTCTATTTATCTACTACTTCATCTGATTTATGAAATATTTATTCAAGCTTCAAAAAAGTATTGTATACATTTCTGATCATACCAAATATAATTGAATATTGAAATATTTATGCCCCTTAAAAATTAGACAAATATTAGTAGAGGAGGACTATTATGCTTCATTTATACCGGCGGGTCCAAGATGAACTGCGGAGTAGAAGTGGGTGTACGAGTCAATTCCAATGATCTTGACATATCTCTCTCTATGCGTCGACCAAACTCAGCCAGCATATTCCAAGCGGAAGTACCAGGTATAGGAGAGGCTTGCTTTATTGAATAGTTACGGGAAAATACAGAAAGCAACCATATACACGGATAACCAGGCTAGTATTTTTGGCCACATCGACGTCACAGATTATTTCCAACGTAACCAAATATAACTTAACGAGGCATAAATGCCCCAAGTATGATAAGAATAGGACTAAGGACTCATCAAATAGGTTAAAGAAAAGTATATAAGAACTTGCAAGGTGTGCTCAAAGGAAAAGGTGAAATTTGATTTTTCGCGGGCTGTGTACATTCGGTTATCCATAAAAATTGTTCTTGAGAATCATCGAATCACTATCAGGGAAGTTGCAGAGGATCTTGGCATATTAGTCGGCTCATGCCACTCAATTGTCTCGAATGTTTTGTGCATGAAACGTGTGGCAGCGAAGTTTGTTCCGAAATTACTGGATTTTGAGCAAAAGCAATATCGCATTAGTATAGCTCTGGATTTGAAAATTGAAGAAACCAATGAAAGGAAAGCGTTTTGCCAAAATTGATGAGATCAAGTCAGAATCGAAAAAAGAGCTGATGGCCATAATGAAAAGTGCTTTTCTGTGAGGATTGAAAAAAGCGTTGGCACACTAGTATTATATCCGAGGGGAACCCCTTTGAAGGGGGCAAAATAGATATTGTTAAATAAATAAGTACTTTTCGAAAAAATTTAAAGTTCACCGTTTCCTTTGAACATACCTCGTACAGCTACTATAACGGGGCACTGACCTTTTAGAGAACATGCAATAATAATGGGTCCACCTTATAAAAATATTTGCCGCAACTGCAAGCCAGAAGGGAATAAGGAAACTATTTTCATATTCTCTGTGAATGTCAAGCTCTATCACAAACCCGACACAAAATACATGGAAACCATCAGGCCCCAAACCTTTAATGGCGGTTTACAGAAAGCATAACGGATATAAGTAGTTTCATTGAGAGCACCAATGGCGCATCCAGCGATAATTGCGCCCAAGGTGGCTACACTTTTACATACCTATCTACCAGGTGTACGTATATAAATAGTGAAACTGTATTCTGGCAACCTATTTACTCCATATATACAATTAATGAATTCGATCATATCTTTGTGCTGTTTTTTGAGGTTTAGGATAACTTATTTAAAATCTTCATCCAAAATTTGCTTCTGTTTTTTGTCTATTTTCTATTTTTTTTTGTATGAGTTTAGATAGACCCTTTTAATAGAAAATCAAACTTATAGCTTCTTTAAAGACAGATTGAAACGAATCCCTTCTAAGACCTCTTAGGGAATCTCCTCTCTTCCTACTGAATGGGAAGATGTTTGATACATATGTAGTAACATATAACACATAAGAAAATTCTTATAGATTGGTACGACAAGCTGAAAGGGGTAGCCTACGAGTGAGATTGGAATTAATTTTTAAATAATTTCACCACATATGTTATATATCCTTTTGTTACATTATGACTTCCAGTTTTTATAGTCTGTTATATAATATTCTACCACCATGACGTTTCATTAGGCTTACACTGCATACAAGTTTTGAAGAAAATATAATATTTTAGGAATAGGTTAATATAACATTAGTAAAGTTTAAATATACTAATTATTTGTTTAAACTTTAAGAATATCTAATTATTCGAAGATAAATCGAATCGATTGTTTCATTACTATTTACTTCACAGATCTAGCACTTGTTGTATATAAAACAAAGAATATATGATATATCTGTGAAACGTATATAAATTTTGACATGCATACATACAAACATTTCCGGTACTAAAATCATCACAGCACACTATGAAATATTTTCAATTCTGCATACTTCAAAAGAATTCAAGCAAAGCTCGAAAAACAAAAGCTTTATAGGCTTCACCCAAAGATACACAATGCAAATATGACAACGAAAGCCCACAATAATCTCTTATGCCTGTACTATGTCTGTTTGTATGTGAAAGGAGCAGATAAATAAAATATTAAAGTCAGACAGCAACGTGACAAAAGGATATTGGAATGGAGCAGATTATTTATGCATGTGAGTATGAGACATATGAGTTTACCGTTTTGTACCATATATATATATATATATATATGTAAATCAGACTAACTATGGTTATTAGATAGCTGATCTTATGTTTCTTCATGCAATCTTTTACAAGAACAAAGTTCATATAAATATTTAAGTTGAAGAATTTGTAGACAGATTGCGAAAATACTCCTCTTTGAACAAAAACTGGTCCAGAAATTATCATTGAAGCCTAAACCCACACTTTTAGTGAAAAATCTTTAATTAAAGGGGTCGTTTGAGTATTTACATTTATACATATGTATCTTGAATCGAAGCATAGATATGTATGTGTGTCTGTAGAATAATATCTATAACAGCATGAGACAAAATTCTCTAACACACAGGCATTCCAACTTTATGAGCAAAGCAGCGCAAAACTACTGACTACAACACACACATTTGCTTGCAGCTTTATATGAGTAGACAACTATTCAAGTATATATATATATTTTTATATATACATATATACTTATTTGCATATATGTATTTGTATAGCAAGTTTCCTCCATCTTCAGCATTGTCTTCCACATACGTTTGCATGTCCATACGTGTGAGCGGTATGTGGGTGCGTTTGTTGTGCTCAGCATGACTTAGGAAACTGCAGCGAAAAGCAATTTGTCTTTCTTCAATGATTTCGATTAAACTTTTGCACAACATAATGCCACACAATACAAAGTAAATATGCAGCTACATAGCTTAGTAAATAAATGCTGCTGGGACGAGTTGCAATGCCGCACGAGTGACATACCTTACTGTCGTCAAAAAATTTTGCATATACCCATGTATGTATATATGTATGTGTGTTGACGTTTTATGCTACACATTGACAATACTTACAAACTGTGCTCATAAACATTGGAAAGTGCTGAAAGAGTAACATACTTTCGTTTATGGTTGCAAAGTCAAAAGTCTAGCAGAATACATATGAAGAGATGAGTAATTGACGGGAATTTACTTTCTAGTACATACGAGGTGTGTTCAAAGGAATTAGTGAACTTTGAATTTTTTCGAAAAGTAATTATTGTCGTCGATATCTATTTTGTCCCCTTCAAAGTAGTTCCCCGTGAATTTAATGCACTTGTGCCAACGTTTTTTGCAATCATCAAAGTACTTTTGAAATGAGCTTTTCGGTACCGCCATCAGCTGTTTCTTTCAAAACGCTTTCTTTTCATTGGTTTTTTCAATTTTGGGAATAGGAAAAAGTCGCTAGGAGCCAAGTCTGTTAAATACGGTAGTTAAGGCATGATAACGGGTGCATTTGGCAATTTCGGAACAAGCTTCGCTACCACACCTTTCATGCCCAAAATATTCTAGAAAATTTAATGGCATGAGTCCGGAATGTGAAATGCCGACATCCTCTGCAACTTCCCTAATAGTGAACCGACGCTTTTCAAGATGTTTTCTTCGCTTGTTGACGTTGTCGCACCTCCAGGCTGCTCATAGTCATCAACATCTTCTCGGCCTTTTATAAAGAGTTTGTACCAGTTATAAACGCTTTGTTAAGACATACTGGACTAAACGAATGCCACAGTCCACATTTCGTGTGTCTTGCAGCACTTTTTTTCTACTTTTAACGTAACATCTATTCTTT